TTTAGGAATTGAGATGGTAGTTGGATGTCGCACAAAGGACAAGCAATCGTACATGATTACAATAATCAATACGTCAACGAGTGAGCGACACAATTAGTTGCGACGATATGTTTAGAGTAGCAAATCAAACCAGAGTATGGCCACAATGTTGCTCCTAAATAAGGCATCAACACGGGAACATATGATCAACCGTCATTGAGGTAAATGAATTGATATGACGGCATTTGCAGATCAATGCATGCTGCACTGAGATACATTTTAGGTCTCTGATGTTCATAGCTGGCTAACTAAGCGATGGTACGTCACTACCGACTCGCCTGGCCGATCCGGACGGTTAGATCACGCTCGCAGCCAACGTTTTAGCCGCGCCCCCATTTCGCGCCCCTCTCGTCAACCTCCTATCCCTCAGTCTCTTGACATCGTGTCATCTCTTTCTTTCTCTCTTTCTCTCTCTCTTTCTCTCTTGCACTTCTACGCTCTCCTATTTACGCCACACGCACACGATACACACGCACGCACACCACCGCACGCACGCACGCGACGCACGCGACGCACAGCACACCATAATATGTATATACGCCACACACAATGCGCCATACGTCATACAGCACCAGCGCTATCGCAAACGCACGCACGCACGACACAGAACATCGCACGTTACGCAACATGACGTGAGGATATCTCGTCTGCCCGCGGCATTGCGCTTCTCTCTTTCCCTAGACATCGCGAGAATCGGTTTTGAATTGCATTTCACACCAACGTCCACTCCTAATCTGCTACTTTCAGCGCAGCTATCACGCAGATTTGCTACCTAACTTGCCGCCAACATTTTACATTACATATTGTCTTCCGAGCGGTTAATTGAAGTTAGCCTACAGCGCCGGCAATGTTTCAAAGGACGTGCCGCAGATCGCTGTTGGATTTTGCTTCTTGCGTCGCCCTGCCTTGGAGCTCTTGCACAACAAAAGTGAGTATTGAATAAAATAAAATAAAATAAAAATCAAATAAAATAAAATAAAATAAGCTGCAGTTGCATTCCGCTTGAAAAACTTATGAATTCATATTTATTTTGTCGCTCGGCCAGGTAAATGTCCACAGATAAATATGAATTCAACAAAGTCAGTCAGTCATTTTAATTTATATTAACCACAATGTTCTCTAAACTCGACGCAATTAAAGAATAACAAAGAGTCATCTCGCTTAGTTCGACGACGACGCTGCCAGGCCGACCGACAGTACATTCATTATACACTGTCCGACCAAATTAACTTGCATTCGCTAATCGCGAATTTGCGACCAAACATGGCCAGTTGTCCTGCCCGCATGCGTCCTTTTTGCGCTGCTTCTTCCCGTTCGCCGCTTGGAGCTAACTCGTCGCGCCATTTCATTACTTCCGAAATCAGCGCGTGAGAAGCAGTAGCTAGAGCCATTTCACCCCATTTAAGCTTACAGTAATTTTAGGACCTAATGTTTGCCGTCACCAGGGGAGCGAGAGTAAATTTCTGATGTCTATATACTAACTACTTATTATCTATATTACTAACTCTTATAACTCTTAATTAAATCTACTATACTTACACTCTCCTACTAACTCATTGATTATCTCTTAGTGCTTACACTTACACGCTAGGTTTCTTCACTGCTCAGTACATAAGGCGATTAAGCGCTTTCACGAAGAGTATCTCGGACGCTCGGTCTCATGAGCGTCACGTCATAGCTGCAACAATGCCCAACGAGCGGACCCCTCAGCCTTCGATCGATTGAGCAAAAATTAGACGGATTCGTTTCTTTCGTCTTCCGCTGCCAGTCGCGTAGTTACGTGTAGCTTCATTACAACTAGCGGGATCGTTTCTCTAATCTTCCGACGATTTCTAGTCTTCGTTTAAAGTGCGTGGGTTTTTTCACTCATCTGTATAAGACGTCTTGCAGGACGAGAAAACCTTTAATCTTTCATTTTTCTCCATTCTTTCGTCTTTCTTCATTCTTCTACCTTTAGAGTTGAGTCGGTATCGGGTTTGAAATTCGCTATATCTCAGCTAACGCGTTTCAAGCACTAACAGCCGACATTCGTGCCTGTCATTTACCGCTGGACTAGGATAATAGCGTCTACTATGGTCTTGCATCTGTGCTGAGTTCCCACGCTTCTTTACCTCGATCATCTCTCAGCAAGAGCTGCTTCGACTTTTTGTCCGAAACGCGCATTTCTCGCTAGATAAAGCTCCTCTCCTCGCCGCGTGCGCCATATCTTTGTTGAAGGAGGAGAATTTATCGGGTCCCTCCGCTAAAGAATCACTAGCTGTCGTTGCTACCCAAATGCAGTCAAGCATATAGATGTGCCACGGATGGTCAAGGTAGCGGTGGCGGTCTGCTTGCATACGCAGGCAGTGTCCACCGCACGGCGAAAAACACTAAACCCGTCCCCATATCGGCGAGAGAAATAGTAGAAGAGAGAAAGAAGAGCAAAGAGGGAGAAAGAGCAGAGAGAGATGCAGATAAGAAGAGAGAGAAGAGAGAGAGAGAGACGAGACGAATACAGGAATGACGAGAAAGATGAAGACGCAGTAGACGAGCGGGTCAAGCCTGGAGAGGATTGAGAGCGAGAGCGAGGAAGAGAGAGAGAGGAGAAAGAGACCGAAGAAACGAGCAGGTGAGGAATGAGCAGAGAGAGAAGAAGTGAGAAGACGAAGAGACGAGAGACCGAATGAGTACGACGCATGAAGAGAACCCGAGAGACGAGAGAAAGATCGAGAGAGAGAGAACAAATAGCAACGACGCAGAGATGAGACCGAGAGAGCATAAAACGACGAGGGGGAGATCCGCCCCGCCCCCGCTGGCTGATGTATCCCAACCGCTCACAGCTGTTCCTCCACCAACCAACGCTAAGTGTCACCACGCAGCGCAGACGCGGACTCTGCTATCGCAACTCCCGCGTCGCCTCCACCTTTATGTCACGATGCGCTAGAAAGCGTAATTACAGTAATAGAACCTTCAACACTCAATAATCCACCGCTCGCGTATTTGCGTCATTACCAAATCGACTGCGATGGCGAGGATGCTTATACCTGGAGTTGCGCAGCCAGCCCCCTGCATTGCCCGCAAACCAATTGTGCCCCTGCCTGCATTTAACCCCGCCCTGCCGCCACCGGGAATGCCGTGCATTTAACCCCGTGACAGCACTAGTCCGATGATCTGCACCTAATTCTCATTCATCCCAACTTCCTCACCGGCCGCATTACCCTCACCCCCTGCATGAAGCGCATTTTAGTTACCCTCGCTACCAATACATTCCAGGAGGCGGGAAAACAATGTCAGGCACGTACAGCACAGGCCGAGCACGGTGCAAAGGCATATAACATCGGAAAGCCTACTCGATCTTTTTTTCGCCTTACCACACATCAGACGGCCGCCTGCAGAAAGTTGACTCCGCCTTTCCGGCATCGTAGACTACCTTGATTCTGTGTGGGTTCAGGCCGCATGCGGCATCTTCGCTCACTTTGTCTGTGAGAAACTCCCACATACTGTACTCCTTTCTGGTACTTGCACGCAGAATTTACCCGCGCGCACAGACCTATTACGCCGGCGCACACTACGGCGCGCGCCCACCACACCAGACCTATACACGCGCCACACACAGACCTATACGCCTGCGCCTACGGCGCGCACACACACACACACACACACGCCCGCGCGCCATCGGCCACACACACACACACACAGACACCGTGCGCGCGCAACACACACACACAACACAGCACACACACACAAACACACACACGCGCTCAGCGCACGCCACACACAATACACACACACACACACACAACACACACACGCACTCACACACACACACACACCACACACACACCAGCACACACACACACACAAACACCACACCGCCGCTCACGCCACGCACACACACGCCGCGCCACGCTGCCGACACCACACTAGTACGCACGCACGCCACGCACGACGCCACGCACGCACGCGCACACACACACACACACATAGTTAGTATTATTTAGATATTTTTTTTATACACGACCACGCGCGCCGACGACATAGCGCGCCACAAAACACACTCACATACACAACACAATGCCGACACCAGCACACACACACACACACACACACACCACACCAAACACAGACACACACTACACACACACACACACCACACACATACACAGCACAACAGCACAACACGACGCACGCACAGGGCGCCGCGCGCGCACACGCACACGCACGCGCGACGCGCACGGCAGCACGCTTCACACACACACACACACACACACGAACACGACACACACACACACACACACACGGCGCCGCGCGCACGGCCGCGCCACACACGCCGCACCACACGCCACACGCGGCTCGCGCGCGGCGTGGCAGTCGGCGCGGCGCAATGTGTGCGTGTGTGTACGGTCGTTACTGCCGTTCCATATGCGGACACGATCAGCATGTCCGACGCTGTTCACGTTCCGTATATACCGCCGCTGAAGCGGCATGTCGTGCGAGCATCAGCCATGACGTTAGTTAGCATCGCGGCTTATGACCAATCTGGGTGGTGCGTGGCGTGTGCCTGCTGTGTGATGTGTGCGCTGCGCGCGGGTGACTAAACATGCACCGCCTAGATGTGCACTAATGACTTGCCCACGATGCTATGCCACTTGCTATTGCTTCACGTGTGATGCATGCCTTTTGCCTTGTTCTGCACTGATGCCTCTTGTGATGTTGATGGCACTTCAAGTTATGCCTATGCAACGATGCCGATCCTTGATGCTGTGCTTGATGCTATCAGTATCTCTGCACCATGATCAGTTGGGGCCTATACCTTATGCCTGTGCCGCGAATATAAGGAAATCGTGCTGTCACGACTGTCTGCTGAACGTGGATATAGACGTGCTGGTCATTTCTTCATATATGATTATCGTACATATCATATATTCATACATCATCTATTCCCCCGTCCGTCGCTCATCTCTTTCTCCCTCTCATTGCAGGCAAGGTGTCGCGCGCGCTCTGTCACAGCCTGATCTCCAACCTGCGCAGCATGATGTCTCAAGAGGTGCTGCGACGTTCCGACGTTCGCCGCATCGTCGGCAGCGGTACGGCGCTGCTCAAGAATCGCGTGCTGCAGGAGGAATTCGAGTCGCAGTACGGATTGCCGCTAGTGTTCGACGAGCAGGGCTCGACGGACGCGGCGATGGGCGCCGCCATGGCCGCCATCTTGTGAGAGCCGAGGACGAAGTAGTGGCAGCCATCTTGTGAGAGCCGCGGACGAAGTAGTGGCAGCAATCTTGTGAGAGCCGAGGACGGAGTAGTGGCAGCCATCTTTTGAGAACCGAGGACAAACCAGTGGCTGCCATATTTTTAGCAGTGATGAAACACTGATAAAGAGTTGGGTGTCTACCCGGAAGCCACTTGCATCGATGATGTCCATAGACGTTTTGTACTTTAATAAAAGTCGCGTGGCCTTTATTTTTCCTTAATGCGTGCGCATGTCGAGTCAAGCGTTTGCATTCAGATGCTGGCAGAAGAGTGGCAACCGTTTCGTATACACTTAAGCGTTAACGTTTGATAGCAGTAACAGATATGAAGATGCTGTTTGATTATGACACGGGTGGTACGATTGAGTATTTGTTTTTTGCTTTTAAGTGGGGCACACTAATTAGGTATCACGCTCCATGCACACACAACTTGGAGACATTCCACAGTTTTACATCTAAGTAGGCCTAATAGTGAAAATGGTTCTGTAAACATCTAGGGTCTGTACGATCTTAGTTGTCAGTAGTCTGCACCAGATGGCCGTTTTCAGAAACAAAATTAATCTTAACATCGGTCTTCACACTCTTAACTCTTTTTCATCGTCCGTTGACAGAAACACGGTACAAGTTACAAGTTTCCTTTACGCAGTGCAGCGAGGTCCCGTCTACGAAAAAAAGTTTATGTTAACACTAATGTGTAAGACTAATTTTATTTCTGACAACGGGCCCCAGTTAGGATGTTAACGACGATGCAAGGAATTCTCACAGCGATGGGTGGAGTGCGTGATAGTGGGGCGCGAGCTAGGCAGCTCGGCTAGCCCAACCTATACTGCGTCTGTATTATTGTCGCTGCACTTACACATGATATCAGGAGTGTATCAATATTGATACACTCCTGATGATATACTCTCACAAGTATAGTTTCTACGTTTACACGTGGCTGCAGCCGTTGCGTATTGGTGCTGTGTCAATCTGTTGCAATAGTCCAGCCTGTTCTACTAGCACCTATGACAAATACGACATACGCATATACGCTCTCCTATGACACTATTTGTCATAGGAAGATTCTTCCTATGACAAATATTGTTGTATGTGTTTTGCGCATCATAGAAGTTTAGGAGCGCTATTATGAACGCAAGCAGTGAATTTCAGCTGTAAAGCGGAACGAAGTTGACTCGCCAATATTTGTCATAGGAAGAATCTTCCTATGACAAATAGTGTCAGGGGAGAGCGTATATGCGTATGTCGTATTTGTTATAGATTCAAACAGAACATGTTGCAGCGTCGTAACATGTGAAAGCCGCCTTCACGTGCGCTAGCGGTATTTTACATGCAGTCAAAGCTCTTGCCGCACCGTTGCTGACGTCACATGAGGTTGCGACCATAGAAATATATATATACCGCTATATAATATCTAGTTCCTTCGTTGCTGACTTCACTACTTGTAGTTGTCTACCGTTACACGATCAAACAAACCGTATTCTCCGAGAAAAAATATGTACGTCTCGAATATAACTAACATCTGTAAATAGGTACAGATGGCGCTGCCGTCGCGACGTTCGCCGCGCGGATGACACTTGTTATATTTGTAACGGCGGGACCGTCGTCATCGTCATCGTCTGCCCGGAGACGCACGTCTGCGAATTATTGCGGTATTAATGTGAGTTATGTGCAGGACGATGCGACCATGGCCACCATCGCTGCTCGGCTAGCGGCGAGTGACTTGTGTCGAGTGAACGTAATAATTAATGTGATTTATGTGCAGGACGATGCGGGCCACCATCGCTGCTCGGCTAACGGCGAGTGACTTGTGTCGAGTGAACGTAATATGCTCACGGCGCTTCACCCCTTCACGGCGCTTTACCCCGCGTTCGCCTGTATAGGTTCTATTTTACTCGATAGTAGTTTGGAGATGCGAGCGCGATGCCCACCGACGAGACGGCGTGGCGTATAATGTCTCCATCGGGAATGGAGTGATGTTGGCGCACCTCCGTTTTCATTGCTTTTGATATCGTTTTCGTATATACTGTTGTTCGCGCGAACATGCCGTGTTGTTGTGCTTCGGTGAGTGTGCCGATAGTGCGCGCAGCCTGTTCATCCAGGTCAGAACTGAAAGGAAACTGCGTCGAGAAGAAAGGGAGGCTTAACACGTGAAAGGCACACTCGAGTAATACGATTGCGAGTGAAAGGCGTGGATTAAAGCAGAGTGGTGATTCTGTCGGGTTTCGGCGTGCTTCCTTGTTCGCTCAACAGTCGCGTTGCCGTGACGTCACCGCCACCTCGATGATCACGCGAGAGCAGATGGCGCGGTGATTATTTCGTGTTCTTGCCTCCCCTCGATCCGTTGTTTAATTTCCACGCCTTGTGTGTGATAGTCGTGAGCGCCGTAGGTAGGCGTTGTCGAACACAGTGGATATCGACGTGGCTAGCTCTAGAACTATAGCCTTATAGAGGCCTGTGGCAGAGCGAAGGCTGCCACAGGCAGAGCGAGGCCTGTGGCAGAGCGAAGGGCTATAGTTCTAGAGCTAAGACGTGGCAGGCTTATTATTCAGGCGAGGGTTTGATGATTCCTCTAGCCTGTCGTGTGTTCAACTAGCATGCTGGAAGCTATCATTATTGTCGAATTCATTCTTACATCGATTGAGTGGATCTGTCAGACGAACTGCTAGCGCGTTAGGGGATCTAACGCAATTTCGAACGTCTGTTTCTGATACGTTTCTGAACTTTGCGCGATATCGTTCAGCGACGACAACGAGAGAGTATGATGTTGTATGAGTTTTGATAAAATTTCGTTTGTTTTTGGTGAGTGAAAGACGCTGAACGCTGCAAGGTACGCGTGCTCCATGCGCGTGAGTGACCTATGATAATATAATAATATTTGTTGGTTATTTTCTAAGGTACACACACCCACTCCACACCCACACCACCAACATAAACATGCACGCGCGCACACACGCGCACGCGCGCACACACATAAACCGACAGACGTACAGACGGACAGATGGACGGACGGACAGACAGACGCGCGCGCACGCGCGTATAGAGTCGCACGTATAAACACGATTGTATTTTGTCTGTTTACATAGTTGTGCAGCTTTTTGTATTCAGAAAGCGCGTTATAAATCAGTGTGTTATAAATATGGAGTTGTTCGTGATGTTCTGATGTTTGCATGTCGCTGCACGTCTGCCCGTGCCACGAGGCGGTTACATACACACAGATGCAGGGTGTGGCTCGACCACCACCCTCTCTCCTGTCACACACACACTGGCAGCAAGAACAAGTCCGCACCTGCAGTTACAGCACACACGCATCTATTGACTATATATATACAACATTGAATATATTGAATATACATTTTATATATTGAATATTTATAAATATATATATATTGTTGTATATATTATATAGTCAATAGATGCGTGTGTGCTGTAGCTGCAGGTGCGGACTTGTTCTTGCTGCCAGTGGTCACATATAGCATCCCGCAACTACGAGCGTCGTACACGTTCTATAGCATTCATCTATATCCATCACACACGCGCATACATGTACGCACGCACCCGCGCACACGCGCACGCATGTACGCACGCACCCGCGCACACGCGTACGCATGTATACGCACGCACCCGCGCACACACGCGCGCACGCACACCCGTACGCATATACGCACGCACACGCGTACGCATTTACGCACGCACCCGCGCACACGCGTACGCATGTATACGCACGCACCCGCGCACACACGCGCGCGCATGTACGCACGCACACGCGCACGCATGTACGCACACACCCGTGCACACGCGCACGCATTTACGCACGAACACGCGTACGCATGTACGCACACGCGCGCGCGCAGAGACAGTTTCCATCGAACATGCATTTTCTCGTGAAGACCTCTCTGCGCTTGTTCCATAAATAAACCTATACGCGAGTGATAGGCGCGGGAAAACATGTTCGCAGGCTAACGATGATAAGCTTCCGCGTCGCCACACGAAAACATGCTGACGCCATAATAAACTCGGCAGCCTGAAGCTAGCGGTCTTCACGTCTCTCGCGTATAGGAAACTCGTGAAGAGGTTTTGCACGTAAATTGAAGCATTATGAAAACGACAGCGCAAATATGGCCGCCCTTCAGAGCCGGCGAGGCGAGCGCCTGAAGACAGATAAGAACCGATGCGGCGACAAAGAAACAGGATTTGTCGCTTAGAATTCCTAGTTCCGTTTCGTTTCGTAACCGAACGAATTAGGATACACCTAATAGTTCCGGAGGCATATTATATATATATATATATATATATATATATATATATATATATACGGATACAGGTACGGCGTACAGTTTGAGTATGACATTTGTTGTTCTGTCAATCCTACATAATCCGTCAATCCAAGCTAATAGCATACTGCCACTCATACTGACAATATACCCTGATGTATAGGGCCTATAATATCCACGCGATGACGGCCTATGGTTAGTTATATATAGCTTGTTACTTTCATGCTGACAATATACCTGCTCTATAGACTATTAATAACCGAACCAACATAACCGCAGGCACTTGGACGTTTCAATAAAACATAATGCTAAATAAATACGAAATCTATTTACTACCAAAGTCTTAATGTTTCTCTACTATCTTTCGCCTATTATTGCCGACAATTTCCTGTAAATGCCGTGCAAAAGCTCCTCTGCAACACACATGTACACCGCACGCGCGCTGCCGCACTCTGACACATAAATATATAGTTAATATTTATGTGTCAGTGTATTTATGTGTCATATTTACTGGTCTTATTGTGTATTTATGTGTATATTTATGTGTCAGTTATATATATATATTTTGTGTCAGTGTGCGGCAGCGTGCGTGCGGTGTACATGTGTGTTGCAGAGGAGCATTTGCACTTCATTTACAAGAAATTGTCGGCAATAATAGGCGAAAGAGATTAGAGAAACATCAAGACTTTGGTAGT